GCCACTTCCCTCTGCCATAGTCTTCCACCATTGTATTCTGCCTCACCTTAAGCCCCAAGGAATAAAGCTTGTTGCCCATAGATTGAAACCACTGAAACTATGAGCCCTTAAGTAAACTTTTCCTCCTTTACGGTTGTTCTAGTTAAGTCCTGTATTAGTCCGTGTTCTCTGGAGGAACAGAATCAACAGGAAGAATAAATTATAAAAAGGGATTTATCACATTGGCTTACATGACCAGAACCTGGATAGTCCACAATGGCTGTCTGCAGGCTGGAGAACTAGAAGAACCAGTAGCTGCACAGTCCAAGAGGCTGAAGCCCCAAGAGGGCTCAATGGTGCTACCCTAGTATGAGACTGAAGGCTTGTGGACAATCACTGGCAGAGTCCACTTTGGAAGAGTGAAGAAGTGAAGAGTTGGATATCATGAACCAGTTCAAGAAGAAACAAGCTTGCAAGTGATCCTGCTTCCTTGTTCTTCCAACTTTTATTCCAACCAAGCCATCATCCTATTGGACAGTGCTGCCCACACTTAGGGAGGGTCTCCATTTCAGTTGGCTATCCCACATGCCAATCATTACTAGACACACTGTCATTGACACACCWGTAAGCCTCTTAATCATTGGCTTCTCTTAATCCAATGAAGTTGACAATTCAAATTAACCACTATAGGTCCTTTACACTCAAGAGCAAGAAAGCTGACTAAAACACCTGGTTTTCAACAAAGACACTAAGAGCACACATTAAGAAAAGGACTGCCTTTGCAATAAATTGTACTGGGAATATAAGTATCTCCCAAAAGCTCATGTATATGAGACAATGAAAGAACATCCAGATGTGAAATGATTGGCTCATGAGAACCTAAACCTGATTAATGCATCAGTCCACTGATAGGGATTAACTGTGTGACAGCTGTAGGCAGATACAGTGTGGCTAGAGAAGCTGATTCTTTGGGGACATGCTTTTCGGGATTATATTTTGTCTCTGGTAAGTAGAGTTCTCTCTCTGCTTCCTTGTTTCCATGTTCTGAGCTGCTTTCCTCCACCACACCTTTCTGTCTTCATGCTCTCTGCCTTACCTTGGGCCCAGTCTATGGACTGAGACCTCTGAAACTGTGAGACCCATATAACTTCTCTTCCTCTAATCGTTCTTTTTTTTAAAAAATATTTTTATTAGCTATTGATGGATATTTATTTATTTATTCATTTATATGTGGTGCTGAGAATTGAACCCAGTGCCTCACACATGCTAGGCAAGTGTTCTACCACTGAGCTACAACCCCAGCCCCCTCTACTCATTCTTGTCAGTATTTTGATTACAGYGACAAAAAAGCTGACAGAACAAGTATATGAAAAATATTCAACATCACTACTCATTGGGAAAATGAAAATCAAAACCTAATGAGCTTTGATCTCATCCCACCAAGAATGGGTATTATTAAAAAAAAAAAAGATTAAAAAGTGTTGGTAAGGGTACAGAGAAAAGGGAACCCTTACACAGTTGGTGGGAATGTAAATTAGGACAGAGATTATGTAAAACATTATGTAGGTCCTCAAAAATTATAACAGAACTCCATATAATTCACCAATCCCATTAGTGTGTAYATACTCAAAGGAAACAAAATTTATTATTGTGTCAGCAATATCTTCATTCCCATATTTATTGCAGACTATTCACAATAGCCAAGAAATGGAAATAGCCATAGTGTCTATCAACTGAAAAATTGGTAKAGAAAATGTGGTACATATATACAATGAAATACTAGTCAGTCATTAAAATTAATGGAATACTATCATTTGTGAAAGCATAGATAGAAATGGAGATTATTTATGTTAAGTAAAATAAGTAGGCACAAAAAGAAAGTGCCACATTATCTTATTTAAATGCAGAATCTAAAAATGTTGATCTCGTGGAAGTTAGAATAGAATGGTGATTATCAGAGGCAGGGGAAAGTAGGAAAAAGCATGGGGAAAGTTGATCAATGCTCAATTACAGTTAGGTAGGAGCAAAGTTCTGATGTGCTATAGAATAGTAGGGTGACTCTACATAGCAACAATGTACTCTATGTCTCACCAAAAAAAAAAAAAAAAGCCTTACTAGAAGGAAGGATTTTGAGTGATTTTATCATACAGAAATGATAAACATTTGAGGAGATAGATATATTTAACCTGATTTAAGCATTACAAAACATATATATGTATCAAAACAGCACTTAGTACCTCATAAATATGTACAATTTTTATTTTTTATGTATCAGTTAAAAATAAATTTTAAAAGTCTATGAAATTTCCAAGTATAGATAATAAAAAATGTGCATCAATTGGTGAAATATTTCTGGAGATTAGAAAAAATAAATTTAAATTTTAAGAAAGAAAGAAGTCTAAAAAAGGGTTTTCCCTCATCTTTACTTTGTTATAAAACCTAAATATTAAAGTATATGTGTAGTATAAACATTTATAATATTACCTTTATAGCAGCTTCTTTATTCTATATAACTATTTGCCTCCATTACTCAGACACATTTTGAACCTAACCTTTTAGTAATAAGAGAAGACTGGACTTGCCTGAAATTGTTCACCTGGTGATGGAATGGCTGGAACCAGGACTTGCTGACATCATGCCTTTCCCTGTCTAATCAATTTGAGATATGCTCAGCAGTTATTTTTTTCTAATATCTTATATAGAATCCCACTGTACAAAATTAGACTCTAATTTCATATGATGATATAAAAATATATCATCATATGAAATTAGAAAATGATGGATGAATTCCTTGGCAATTTCAATCTTAATTGTTAGGTGGGAAATACTTTGTTTTTCATCATCCTAAAACATCTCCATGGAGCCACTGTGCTCCCAGGAACTCTATTTGAAATCCTGTTCAATCACTAGTCCACTTGCCTCTTTGATTGATTCAGTAATATTCTGCTGAATGGCAGTGCTCGCTCTTCTTCATGACTGTAGAAAGTCTTCATCAATACTTTCTTGGTGAAAAAAAAATCACTATATATACCCTGGTAATGATATCAACTAAAGAATCCCACAGTGAATTTGTACTAAGCATCTTTAAACGGGGAGTCCAGTGATTCAGAGGATGTGAATTCATATAACAGTAGTTGTTTGACCTGGTCCTCAGCAAGTATCCACAGTACATAGATTAGATGTCATAACAAAATTAATTACTTGGCTCTTATCCTCTGGGACACTAAAGAACAATTTAAAACCCAAGAATTTTCAAGTGGAGACCAGCTTTCCCTTACTTTTTCTGTTTTACACAGAAGCAATGCAAAGCTTCCCTTTGCCAGGTGGACACCCAGAATGACTTAATTGAATATCAGGAGCAGTGACACCCCAGAGAGGGTTCTATTTCAGTTGAATGACCTTCAGTGACTTTCTGGCTACCTAAGGGCCAGACCTCAAACAGCAAAAGATTGTGTTTGTGCCTAGTTTCTGAGAATAGCTTACATGAACTCTCAGTTTTGATCTAACCTAGAGAGTAATCATTCCTGTCTATGAAGTTTACAATGTCACCAAAAGCAGTTTAGTTTAAACTGCTGAGTTCAAAATTTCTGAAAGAAAGAAAGAAAGAAAAAGGAGGAATGATGTGCAGAAAAATAACTGCAATATACAAAATGAAAGAATTTTAAAAATAATTATCTGAGTTAAAAATGAATAGAGACACAATTCCATTTCTCAATATTACTTGGAAGGAGAATAATAAAATAATGTCTACTTGATATAAGAATAAAYACAGCAAAGGAAACTTAATCAGTGAAATAAAGCACACTGCCTGAAAATGTCAACCAAAGCAGAAGAGCAGAAACTTGCTTGACATTTTATATCTAGCATGTGCTTTTTCCTAAATTCCTTTTCCTATGTGCTTTCATCAAACACTTGCAGAAAAGGACCAAGTCTACAACATGCTGTGAGAACAAGACAGAGAAAAGAATTAATAACCAGAAGCTAATAGTAATAACTGCATGGAAGGATAAGGGGTTTGGACAAAGCAAATTATTTGACTACAGAAAACTTTTCCAAAGCTATGAATTCATTCTTTTTATCATTTWATAGGAACAAAGAACAAATTAAAACATAAGTATTGGTACTGATCTTTCATCATAAAGATCTGATCTAAGTCTGCAATTGCCTAAAGAACAACTTAAGTCAAAATGAAATGAAAGAAGCAATATCATATCATTAGTGACAAAACTCAAAATGTCTTATTTGTTAAGTAGATGTGATCACAAATTAAGTTTGAAATTCTCTTCTAAACACTAAAGTCAGGATGGATGATGGTCTGCTTCCAATATTCTTCTTATTTTTAYGGTTGTATGAAGCCACGCTTTAGAAATCATGTTAGCACATTTTTCAAACCTTGGCTAAAGTCTCTACTTTTGATATCAGACATGACTTCTGATGTGTGAATACAGGTTTTACAGATTGAACTTATTTATCACAAAAATTCTTGTTTAGATCTTAACCCCCTATACCTTAGAATGTGTCCTTTAGAAATAGGGTTTTTGTAGATCTAATAATACAATAAAACTGTATATTATATTAATAACTTAGCAATAACATAATAATACTGTATTAGCACAATAATACAATAATATCAGACTAAGATGTTCCCCAATTCAATATGATTAGTGTCCTTACAAAAAGAGGAAATTTGGGCACAGACATGAATAAGAGAAAACACCAGGTAAAGATGAGTTCTGTTGCCATAAGATTAGGGCCTAGGAAAAGGATCAACTTCAGATAGAAAGTAGCCTGCCAACACATCAGTCTTGAACTTCTAGACTCCAGAACTGTGATACAATGAATTTCCACTATTTAAGCCATTCACTTTGTGGCCCAAGAATACAATGGTATTGTAAATACGTGATTAGATTAATAAATTAATATATTACTGGTTTACTGTTAGTCTCACTCCTCTGGTAGGAAAGTCATTAGAACTGGTAAGTTTATTTAAGAATATTAGTATCACTTTAAACTTGTAAGTGGTGCTTATTTTTGCAACACATGTAGAACAATTAGAACAATACAGAGAGTAGTATAATTCTTGCACAAGGATGACATGCAAATTGGTGAAGCATTCTACATTTTTGGAACCACCAGATGACCCAGCTATTTTACTTTTTGATATTTATCCAAAAGAACTAAGCATACTATAGTAACACATGCACACCTGAGTCTATAGCAGTGCAATTCACAAATAGCCCAGTTATGGGAACCAGACTTGATGCCTTTCAACAGATGAATGGATAAATAAAATGTGGTATATACACACAATGGAATTTTATTCTGCCATAAAGAATAATGGAATGGTGTCATTTGCTGTAAATGGATGGAACTGGAGGGCTGGGGTTGTGGCTCAGCGGTAGAGTGCTCACCTTGCACATACAWGACCCTGGGTTCGATTCTCAGCACCACATAAAAATGAATAAAATAAAGGCATTGTGTCCAACTACAACTAAAAAATAAATATTTTTAAAAGATAAAAAAAATAAATGGATGGAACTGGAGAACATAATGCTAAGTGAAATAAGCCAGACTCAGAAAGCCAAGGGTTGAATGTTTTCTTTCATATGAAACACAGTGAGGAAAAATAGGAATTTAAGAAGAAAGGGTTCTCATGAAAATAGAAGGGGATCAAGAGAGAAGGTGGAGGGAAGGTCATGGAGAAGAACTGGGGAACAAAATCTGCTAAATTATGCTATATCCATGTATGAATATACCACTGTGTGTGTGTGTAATTATAAAGCACTAATTAAAACAATCACAAAAATAATAACAATAAAAGAGAGATCTGTAGAGTGGACCAAGGATATCAAGCATGGAGGAAGAAAGGGAAAGGGAAGGTACTAGAGAATGACATTGATCAAATTATATGCATATATAGATATGACATAATGAGTTCCACTGTTATGTGTAATAATAATGTGCAAATTTTTAAAAAAAAAAACCTACAGGTGAAGAACAGCTCATGACTAAACCACTCAAGATCAAGTGAATTTTTGTTAGATTGGAATATTATTGGGAAATGGTTTTACACAACTCCTAAAATACTCTAATATCAGAAAATATAAGCAACCAAGTCATTTTAACCTTTAACWACTAAGCAAACACATGCATTTTTCTTTTTGTAGAGAACAATACACCATTGGAGCACTGACTTTGCCACTTGAAGAATGAAATTTCAAAAGGAAAACCAGTTTCTGCAGTGCTTTTCCAGATCTTTGAGTAAAAATGGTGATTAAAAATTGTGCATACAAACCACTAAAGCTATGCTTCATGAATAAAATAGCAGAAGCAAAACAAATGGATGTAGATTCTCAGAATGGCAGATGGTGAGCATACAGAATAAAGCATGTTCAGTTTTATGGTCAACTTGAAATTATAAACCTTGAGAACCATGTGGGTCTATAATTATATTGTTCAGATACAATAGATATAGCAGATAATATCCACTGAAAGAGATTTACTGAAAATCTGAACAAATAAGAAAATAACTTTACTTGCTTCTTATTAACAGTTCTTTAATAAATATTATTCCCTAAATATGAAATTCGCTGGTATCATAAATGGAAGAAAAACTCTCATGAATTATATGTATGAAATATTTTGCTCTAAAAATGATACTTAGAACATTATGAAGATAAAAAGTAGGATAAGAAGTGTATTTTATGCTAAAATTTTTGCAACTTCTTGATTTTTTATTTTATTGATCCATTTTTAATCTATAGATTTTATAGATAATCTATTTACTTATTTTTTTAGTTTTATACAATTCACATATGTAATACAATTATGTACCAGTCTATAATCAGTTGAGTTCTAATAAATGCATAGAATTTTTGACCCTTACCAAAACAAATATGATACATCCTCTCCCCCTATAAACCCCTTGTGACTCTCCAAAGTATCACCCTCCCTCTACTCCTGTTACCTGGAAATCACTGATATGATTCTGCCCTATTCTAGAATGTCATACAAATGAAATCATCCAATATATAGCAATTTCAAACTGGCTTCTCTCACTTAACATAATTAATGTACTGGATCTATTCATGTCATTGCAAGTAGCAATAGTCCATTTCATCTGATGGTTGAGTTGTATTCCATTTTCTGGATGCATAGCAACTTGTTTTTCTATCCACCAACTGAAGGATATTTGGGGTGTTCCCAGTTTGGAAACAAATAAAACTGCTATAAACATTAGTGTACTTTTTTTGTATTTTTCTCAAATAAAAATAATTAAGAATGAGAATGCTGAGCCTTATGRTAAACATATTTTGAACTTTATAAGAAATCACTTACTGTCTTCCACAGAGGTTACCCTATTTTGAATTCCTAATCAGCAGTGCTCAAGAGTTCCAATTGCAGGATGGGGGTAGGTCAGTGATAGAATGTGCATGTGTTTAGCATGAAGGAGGCCCTGGATTCAATCCATATCACCAAAGAATAAAAATTGCTCTGCATCCTTGATATCACGTAGTACTATCAGTTTTCATTCTGTATTTTAACCATTCTAGCAAGTGTGTACTGGTAACACATTGCAAATTTACTTTGTGTTAATAACAAATGATATTTCCAATTATCATATACGTTTATTTACCATTCAGATCTCTTTTTGGCAAAGTGTACATTCAAAGTTTTACTTGTTTTTTCAGAGACACAAACAAAAGTTTGTGGACCATCTCCAGAGGGAGACACAGACTCTTTTAATCATTTTTAACATCAATTTGTATAATTTTGATTATTGTCTTTTGAGAATTCTTTTTACATTCAAGATACTCTCCTTTTATAAGGCATGTAAATACTGAAAATATTTCTCTGTGGCTTGTCTTTTGATTGAAAGTTGCCTGTGCCTAGAATGCAAATGAGGAAGTCTTGGGGGTTACAGTTTTGGGAGCACTACCACCACCATCCTGAGTTTTACCTCCAGAAACCCCAGCAGATCCCCACAGTAACAAGACCCAGGATGGAAACAGGTACTAGCTCAGGAGGGCTTTATTGGACAGAGTAGCCTTTCATCTTTACATTGTCTAGGGTTTTTTTTTTCCGTTTCTCAAATTTAGGATTATACTGTTTACTTTTGAATTTATAGTTTTTTTCTTACATTTCAATGTACTAAATAATTGGAAAATTAACTATGTTAATTTGGTTGGCATTTATAAGCCAAACATCTATCATCAATTTTGATTAAAATATTTATGAGGTATAAAAAGAGAAATGGAAATATAAAGCACAATATGCATTAGAATTCATCAAACAACAAGACATTTTTAAGGGAACTTATTAAATGTAAAATCAAAAATAACAACCTAATAATAATGATGGCTTATTAAAGAGTTGTTTGAATTCAATTGTTTGTCTCTGAAATGTTTTGTGTAGAGAAAAAGTAGAATTCAAAGTAGATTAGTTAAGATTAATATTAGATTCGGTAAATTCAAGAGCATATAAAAACTATATAAATAACAAATGAAAAACTAAAAGGGAAAAGGCACTTTCACTGATAAAAGCATCTTTTAATAATGTAGCTTGAAAACATGGAAAGAGCTGGGACAAAAAGAATAGTACCACATGCTACAAAACTAATAAGGAAAACATATAAAAATGCACATAGAGTAGCTTGATTGATGGAAGAAATGCCTACATCTTTTCAAATGGAAAAAGGAACCAGGCAGAAAAATAACTTAAGTGCTTCTTGATTGTAGAATTCTTGAACAAGGTTGAGAAACACTGCAAAGAAGAATGTATAGGTCAAAATTGAGCAATGGGAAGTGAAAGAAAATAAGTATCAGGTCTGATGAGCGAGCCCAGATTACAAATACAGAAATAAAATTAAAAATTTTAAACAGAAAAAAATGTAAAATATTTCAAAGGTAAGAAATATACCCAAAATGAGAATCTTAACCAACAATATGCTTTTAACACTGAAGACAAAATAAATTCCAATCTTATGCCAAGAAGATGAAATAGTAGGGTTTGAAGATATTACCATATCAATATAGTTCTAATTTAAGGACTAGGAGTATAGCTCAGTGATAGAATATATGCCTACCATTTGCAAGGCCCTGAATTTGACCCCTAGCACACCCTTCCCCCCMAAAAAATCCTAACTTGAAATGACACAGAAGGGATATAGCTCAATTGGTAGAGGCCTTGCCTTGCATGCACAAGGCCCTGGGTTCAATCCCCAGCACCACAAAAAAAAAAAAAAGGGACAGAAAACTCAAAAGCCAACTAAATACACGAATTAACCCACAATAGGTGACCACACATCTAGTTTCCAACATGGTTGTTTAAATCATGAGCTTCTCTCATAATCTAACACATCTGCTACCTCCTTGTGTTAATTTCTTTTAAAAGACCACAAATCAAAAGTTTAATTATTTCAAAACTGACTACAATAAATAAAAAATGTAAAAAAAATTAAAAGCAAAAAGAAAAGTAATATTTATCAAGTGCCTATTCTATATCTAAGCCATTGTCATTTAATCTTCACAGCAAAACTTTAAAATCAATATTGTGGTTTATATTGTATAAATAAAGAAACTAAAGAAATTTGAGAAATCAACCCTTAGAACAGCACTGAAAAAGCCAGGTAAATGAACTCAAAGGTAGGTTTCTAAAAGCAAAGTCCAWATTCTTTGCTTCCCTACTATCACTAAATCTAGTGATAACCTAGTGAAAACATGAAAGTATAAATTCTAGGAATCTGTATTATAAAATTAATTCAGCTTTGCAGAATGTTTGAAATTTTTTAAAATGATATGTTACAGTCTGTAGGTAAAGAAGATATCTGACTATTTAAGCAAGCTATTTAGGAACAAAATGCTAGACATTAGGTTTGTGGTGGACACCTACCCTAAGTACCAAAGGACCCAAAGCTCCTCTAGGGTTTTTAAAAAAAACAAAAAACAAAAAACACACATTAGCACCTGTTTGGATTAACCAGCTCTATAAACCTCATGTTTAAATATAGACTGGAATTCAATCTTTAATCATTTAAATCCATGAACACGTTATGGTGACTTAGAAATCATACAAGAGGGTTCTGGAATAATGACACAAGGAACAGATATGCCTTGGTATACAAAA